GTTGGACTGAGCAAACTTACACAATTTTGTACATCCATGCTTTAAAATAAATCTCTTGCTCTCAGTACATCACAACCTGTTGGTTCTGTTTCTCTGGAGAAACAGACTCTCGGGTAAGCCCAACCTAGTCCCTAAACCCCCCTGGACAGATCTGAAAGCTTTTCCTTTTTCACTCTCTGTAGGGACAGTTCTAATATATCTCCCAGCTCATCCAAAGACATTATACAGAACAGAACAGAAAATCCCCTAGCCTTGAAGGACTCAGTGGATTTACAGCCCAGTCATATCTTGGGTCCTCTTTTTCCTTGCTGTGGGCACCCCGGCTTCCAGTCATTCTTCCAGATTGGTAAACCCCGCAGGCCTTAGTCAAGAGCCTCAGTGTCCTTTAGTTCCAGGTCTTCAGTGGACATAGCTCTTGTATTTTAGAGCCATAACAGGATGAACCAATCCATCCCTGGGAAAGAGCCCTCTTGCTTCACTATTGGGATGATGCTGTTAGGAGACTGGGCAATGCGTAACCTTCTCCTGCCAGGGGCCACAGCAGGATTCTGTCACTGTTGGGTACTCCAGACTGTCTCCCATCTACTTGTGGTTTAAGATGGGTCCCCTTCCTTCCCCAAAAGAGCTATGATCCTTTTTGGTGACTGACTCCCTTTCTGCCTGTAGAGTTGACAATGGGAAGGAAGCCCTTCCAGGAAGCTCTTGGACCCAAGAAGTCTTGGTTTCTTGGATACCAAGAAACCTCTAGGTTTGAAACTAGGAAACCTCTCAGGTTGCCAGGAGGCAGCCGAGGGAGAGTGCCTCACCTCCTTGGCACTGGACCTTCCCCTCACTTTCAGCCTCTGCAGGATGCTGCTGTTTCTGGTGATGGTCCATGGCTGACTCTCGGGTAAGCCCAACCTAGTCCCTAATGTCTAAAGCCCCTCCGTGGACAATTGAGATGGGCCTTGTGACAACATATGACTGGTTTAGCAGATCTCCAACCACAACGGTGGCTTTGGTTGCTCGAATATCTTTCACCCAAGAGCTTCCTTGGAATGGGACCCTGGGCAATTGTTTCCCTAGAACACAGTTCAGCAGGGCCCTAAAGAAAAGCTGCTGTGTCTGCTGGCATTTCTGGGAGTTTCATGAAAAGTTTATAAACTTTTAACTCCCATCTTAAAGCTGCCAGGGCTGAGACTTAGAAGCAAAGGAAGATGGGTATCCTCCTGTAAACTGGTTTTTATATATTCCTCCCCAAATGCATTATTCATTTGGATACAGGGTTCTCTGTCTGAGGATCCTCCATCTCCATATTCTCTGTATCCTGCAGCAATTAACCCATCTTTAAGGGATCAGAATTTACTGGATCAGAATGTTAGAACAAATAAAATGACCCTAGCTGGAGAGAGGGAGAAGAGCATGTGTCCCCTTTCTCTCTAGTCAGAGGTAATTCCTTGAAGGAACTGTCCCTAAAGAACTTTTTTCAGAAGATTAGTGCCAAATGGTGGAACCTGATGTCATTCTGGATTAGCTGTCACCCATCTACCTACCTGGCTCTTATTTTATTTGGTACCCGGGATTGAACCTAGGGGCACTTAACCACTAAGCCACATCCCTAGCCCTTTTTTCTTAAATGTTGAGAGACAGGGTCTTCCTAAGTTGCTTAGGCCCTCACTAAATTTCTGAGGCTGGCTTTGAACTTGTGATCCTCCTGTCTCAGCCTTGCAAGCTGCTGTGATTACAGGCATACACCACTATAACCAACTTAGAAGCATGTTTTAATCCGCTTTTTCATTGCTGTGACTGAAAGACTTGACCAGAACAATTGTAGAGGAGGAAAGGTTTACTGGAGGGCTCACAGTTTCAGAGGTCAAAGGCCAGCTCCATTCCTCAGGGCTCAAAGTGAGGCAAAACATCATGGCAGAAGTGTGAGGCAGAGGGAAGCAGCTAACATGAAGATCAGGAAGCAGAGGGAGGGGTCTCCACTTGCCAGATACAAATATATACCCCAAAGCCATGCCCCCAATGCCCACCTCCTCCAGCCACACCTGCTTCCAGTCACCACTCAGTTAATCCCATCAGGGAATTGGGTTATGACTCTTACAACCCAAACATTTCCCCTCTGAATTCTCACATTGTCTCACATGTGAGGTTTTGGGGGACACCTCACATCCAAACCACAACAGAGCAAAGTTCTATCACAAATCTCCATGAGGTCGGCACCAGGTCCTCAGGGGCCCCACCCTTTCACATGACAGTCTCTGCAATCACAACCGTGGCTTTGGTTGCTCACAAGTCTCTGCACTTCTTTGCAGGGTGGGGGGAGGGGAGTAGTTTGGGGACATCCTGTTCTCCATCAACACACAGACACTGTAGCCCTCAGACAAGGTTGAAGGCTATTGATAAAAATAGCCCAGTCCACCCACTCTGTGCGTACTTATTTTAAACAACCACCAGCTTTTCTTGGTGAGAGTAAGTAAGTTCCAGTCTCCAGCTGCAGTTTTCTGCTCTTCCACAAAAACCACTTATATGCTAAACCTGGTCTTGGGGTTAGTGACCCAAATTACCATCTCTCCCAAACTTCCCCAGCCCGTCACTGCTGTGCATTCATCTATAAAAGTCATAGTTGAAAGAATCAGTGGGCTCAGAGATGGGCCACAAGCCATGCAGCATGTCTCTTTGGCAGAAGAAGCTGAGCATACTCCTTATGAGGTATGACAGCTATCTGGAGTGTAGAGAGAAACTAAAGGATGTGACCCAAAGACAAGAGGATGGTGCGAAATTTCAATTAAATCTTGTGCTTTATTCCTACAAATACATTTTAGTTTTGCATTTTCCCCCATGATCTGTGAATGTAAAATGCTCTTCCCCCAATAGCAAATGCATTTCTCCCAAAGATGAACATGTTTACCTTGGAGCATGACGTCTGTCACATTCCTATTCTGGAGTCACTGTTCCTGGATACTTCAGAATGGATGTCTGCATAAAGCCAGATGGCAGAGTGATGCTTCTACTCTGTCATTTCTGGTCCTCTCTCCAAAACTTTTACTGTGTGACCCTTGGAATTGTGCTACTGCCTATATAAAAGAACATGGTAAGACACAGACATCCAAAATCATCCTGGCAAGTATGCTGTTGCCACATGAGATGCCACAAAATAAAAATGGAGGACAGAAAATTCCTGAAACCCTCCCTAACATTTATGGAAATCGTGTGCTCAGTTCCATCTCATGTTCCAAAGAGCTGCAGACCTGAGAGCACACACAGTGACTATCCCCTTGTAAATGGCTTTCTCTTCCCTATTCCCATATTCTTTCCTCCTTGTTTGCCTAGCAGCATCTTTTTTTCATTTTACTCCAACATATTTTAGCAGCTTCAAATCCTTCCCAGAACAAAGCAGGATATGAATCTTTAAAAAGGCAGGGGGAGGCACTGTTGGCCATTGGACACACTACTGAATGTTATTGGGACCAGAGGCCCTGCCTGTCTGCATCATTGAACACATCACAAAACTGCTTAAGATGACAGCCAGCTTCCAAGATGTCCCTATCCACCCTTCCAGTGTTTGCAAAGGGCTCATTTCTGTATTTACAGGACAAAAGTAAACTAGATCATCATATATTTAACCAGTGTACATTTTCTCCTACTCACATGTGGATTTTATTTATGGAATATGTTAACTTTTTAGTTAATGCTCTGAGTACTTCTCAGAAATTCAGAAATGGTTTAGGAGTTATAGCACCCAGATTGATAGAGACCCAAGCAAGGACACGTTGACTGTCCAACTCAAATTATGAGTCAACTGAATTTCGAACTCTACCAAAATACAGGATTAAGGACTCTGCATCCGTTCATATCATTAAAATCCTTAATAGAACCAAGGCTTTTTTCTCAAATTCAATCTACTTTTGATTCGTATAAGCCTAAATTCCTAAAGTGTCTTGTGTAACTTTTAAACTTATTTTAGAATTTCAAGAATGAATGTAAAAAATGAATGATGTAACTTTTTGAGGAAGCAATTTGGCAATAAATATCAAGAGCCCTAAGCCTTAGCTGGGGCTTGGCTCAGTGGTAGAGAACTTGCCTAACACATGCAAAGCCCTGGGTGCAATCCCCAATACTGCAAAAAACAAAGCCTTAAAAATGTTGCTAAATTTTCATTCAGTAATTGTACTTCTGAGAATGTACTTGCAGAAAAGGACTAAAATGCAGGTCACTGATATACATAAATAAGGATCATATACATAGAGGAACATTTCATGTAAAAGAGACAAAAAAATGGAAATAATTCAAACAGTCAATAATAGTGGAACTGTTCACTTACTAAGTGATCAAAGGATAGATCATTCTGCAGTTGTTAATCATGTTCACATGGAATTTTAAGTATCTGAGAGAAATGTTCTTGAGAGAACATTAAACAGAAAAAGTAGGAAACAACTGCAGATATAGTACATACTCAAGTGTCACACACAGACATCCACAGACATGAAGGAAAGGCATCAAAAGACCCAGCAGGTGGGATTATGGGTAATTTTTCCTTTTTCACAAGTTGTCTTCACATCTCAACATTCTGTAAGGAACATGTTCTCAATTGTATGATAAATAATTAAAATAAAAGTTGCCTGGCGCAGTGGCACACACCTCTAATCCCAGCAGCTCAGAAGGCTGAGAAAGAAGAGCACTAGTTCAAAGCCAGCTTCAGCAACTGCAAGGTGCTAAGCAACTCAATGAGACTGTTTCTAAATAAAAATACAAAATAGGGCTGGGGATATGGCTCAGTAGTTGGCTGCCCCTGGGTTCAATTCCTACTACCCAAAAAAATAAATAGATAGATAGATAGATAGATAGATAGATAGATAGATAGATAGATAGATAGATAGATAAAAGTCATGCTTAAAAGTAGGAAGACTGGAGTGTGGCTTAGTGGTAGAGTATGTGCTTAGCATGTGCAAAACCTGGATTGGATTCCTAACACTGTAAAAAGAATGAAAGAGAGTAGAAATTCACCACAAAGCAGATTATTGATTGAAATGTATTCCTTTTTATTAAATTATAAAACTGCTGCCAATACACAAACTTGTGGAAATAAAATAATCTTTTCTCAAGTATCTGCTTTTGTGGAACACATGGTTTGAAACAAAATATTTCCATACCAACTTCTTGGTCTTCAAGCTATTTAGTACTTACAGACATACTACCAAGTACAGCTATTATATGTACAGTCAGAATTTATGAAAAGTATTATAAAGATGAATGCCTTGAAAAGATGACACAGCATAGCAAAAACCAGCTATTAAACTGGTACAAAAATTTAGGGAAAATACAATTTTAGTCCATTATGGCTTTGCATAAAGCTTCAAAAGAGGAAAGTTTAAGACACTTCTTCTCATCAAAGGCACTTAGAGAGTTGTAATAAAATACTTCTTTGAAAGTGGTTTGAGTCCAACAGTATTTTTTATTCCTTTTCCCAGGTCTGCCTCACAGTGAAGCAGTCCTTAAAGGCAGCTATAAATGAGAAAAAATAATTATTGCTTCTCAATATACATATTAAAAATACACAAGACAGGATTAATACAGATGTTGGTCCACTGAAGCAAGTAACAGTATCGTACTGTAATGTTCCTCTTAATTCTGAGCAAAAAGCCATAATAAACTCCTCTACCCTGTCCCAAACAGCGAACCTGGGTTTGCACGGGAAGCAGGAGCTCTGTTACCACCACACCTCCACGGTGCGTGTTAACTGGAAAAGATTCAACCTGGTGGCCTCGCAGGCGTGCCTGTTGGAGGTGGCTGCAGACCCAGAAGAGTCTCTGCTTTGACAGACACCTACAATTCCGTGTCCCGGTACCGGGCAGGCTGGCCATAGTAACCGCGCTTGGAGTGCTCCGCCAGCTGTTGGCGATACTCCTCTTCCTCCTCGGCTTCACTGCCATAACTTCCTCTGGCGTCCTGATAGTGTCTGGAGGGACCCTTCTGCGGCTCAGGGGGTCTGGAACTGACAAAGTGAGGGTGTTACATACCTCCCAGGGCACGCCCATGCCCTCTAGCTGCAGACAGAGGTGAAGCTTGAGTGCAGCCGGCAAGCATCCAAGGCAGATCACTTACTGACCTCTGAGCAAGCTGCCCATCAACCAGGGCACTTCTGGCTCCACTCCAGGTCCACAGAGTGGTGAGGGCAGAGAAAGGGTTAGGTCAAGGTCAAGGCCGTGGCTCACTTGGACAGTGAATGAGGAGCATCTGCTGGGTGCTCCCTGACCTAAGGCTGTCCCACTGGATAAAGAGAAGGTACCTTCCTTACCCTCCCCAGCTACAGCCTCACCTAGCACACAGAGTCTCTGTCAATGTCAGGCACCAAGTCCCCTCAGTTACCAGAAGCAACCTGGCCACGTTACCATCTAATTGCTAAAGAAGAAATGTCCCTCTAGATTTCTATTGCCATAAAACTAGACTCTAGCTTCCAATCAAAATGGCCATGAAAAATGTGATTTTTTTTCCCCTATCCTTGGAAGTAGGAAATGATCCAGTCTAAAACCTCAACAAGAAGTCACTGTGGTGATCCCTAGTGCCTGTGGGCACTTTAAATAGGAAGCATCTTAGCAACACTGGTCAATTGCTTGTCATAGTCCCTTCAGACCCAGTTTGGCATAAGTGGCCTGATTTTGCTGCGTGATGCAAAGGAATTAAGGAGCTTGGCTAAGAGGCACAAAACAGTTAAGTGACACAAAAGGGCAAAGCCCTAGGAATTTTGCTCCTGTGCTATCCTGGGCACAGTTTAACAAAATTGTGCTCCAAAGTGTCAAAAGCTACCAGGCACACAAGAAAAATTGCCATGAATTCTTGACTATAATCTTTACAGTTACAATTGATGGTCAATTACAGGTGCAGGCCTATAAACCCAGAAGGTTGGGAGGCGGAGGGAGGAGGATTGCAAGTTCAAAGCCAGCCTCAGCAACTTAGCAAGGCCTTGGACAACTTAGCAATACCCTGTCTCAAAATAAAACATAAAAAGGGCTGGGGACAGCCAGGCACTGTGGTGCACAACTGTAATCGCAGCAGCTCGGGAGGCTCG